CCCCATGCACACAGACACATTCACATACAAACAATCAGTCCCTAAATCTCTACCTATAAATACCTCTTTTTCTCTCTCTCTCCTTTCTGTTTTCTCTCCCTCAATGTTTATGGCTTGCTGACGCCACACCGTAATTAACTTCCCTTTTTCCTGTCTAATTGGCGTTTGCATAACTTCTAGCAGCTTCCTTAGGATCACATAAAGCTGTTGTATTAATAGAGCGGGAAAACCCTCTTCAGTTTTTTCATCGGGTGTGCACACCTGCTTAACCGACTTATTCAGTCTCCGAACCCCTGCTGTATACACACATAAAATATAAATGCAGACACAGACACACTCGAACATACAATACACAAACACGTACACGCGCGTGCACGCACACACACATACACACACACACATACACACCCACGACACACACACACACACACACACACACACAAGCGCACTCACACGCACGCACGCACACACACTCACTCACTAGGTTGCAGTTTATTGTTCCAAAGCTTTGCTCAAACTGACCGCTATTGTGTCGAAATGCTTTTCTTTTCTCAAGCGGATGATTGGATGGCGCGACTGTTAGGTCTTACTTCTTTACTTTATGCCTCTTTTGTTTCTGTCTGTCTATCTGTTTGTTTTACTTTTTCTCACAACTATGACAATTATTGTGTCGATGTGCTTCTTTTTACCCAAAGCTTCTTTTTTTTCAAGCTAAAACATGTGGGTTCTTGGCGGGTGCTCTGGTGTGGTTTGCTCCTTCTTTCCTACCAAACAACTATCGTCCCGATCTCTCCTCCTTCTTTTTTGTTTATGACTCTCTTGTAACACCTCTGATCTTCGGCACTTATATGACCTTATTGTGTTGCAAGTATCGTGAAACTCTTACTAAAACTTTTTTTTAAAAACTCACAAATAAACTAAACCATAACCATCCACTCGGACGAAGTCCCCATCTTACTTCAAACAAACGACTTCCTATCAAAGAGATTGTCCCGTCGATCTACCGCTTTGCTAGCGTGCTTTTGCGTCTGGTGGTTACATACTTCAAGTGTACGTGTACGCTGTTAATCAGCAGGGGTGAAAGCTGCGGGACACTAAGCACCAACGGGAGCCGAAGGAAGGGAAATTAAATGAAACGTTTGGCGATCGATTTTGGAGTATCTGTTTTCTTTGAGTGGATGAGACTGAAGATATCAGTTCAAGTGGGAGTACGTTCTTGATCTTTGCGGAACAAAAAACATTGGACGAGAAAATGCGATCAGGTTGGGAAAATGAGCTTGGGCTGCCTGCTGGGTCGAGGCAGCCCGCCTCATAAAGAGTCTAAACAGTGTCAATGGGGGCGTGAAAAGTTTACGCTCAGGCCTGTCCCTGGCCTTAAAACTGGATTACAAGAAAAACGTGTCAGTGAAAAAAAATGTTGGAGGTTTCTTTTTGCAAAAGAATGACTTCAGAGGAAAAGTCGCTCCGGAGTTGCCAGATGTCGCAGGTGCTAGTTTAGCAGAGAAATGGGAGCAATTGTTTAATTGGGGAGCCAGCCAGTTAGAGGTGGGGAAAGTTCCAGGGAAGATGCGTACGTGTGACCGCAGTGCACAGCACCTCCTACCACAGGGGCCATCTGGTGGAAATGTTAGTGATAGGTGGCGCGTACTTTGTGTGTGTGTGTGTTGGGGGGGGGGGGGGATAGACAGAGAGAGAGAGAGACAGAGGGAGAGAGGGGGTGGGTAGGTGAGATAGCGGGACAGCAAGAGATAGATTGAGAGAGAGAGAGAGAGAGAGAGAGAGAGAGAGAGAGACAGCAAGAGATATATAGACAGACAGACTGACAGACAGGCAGGCAGGTGGACAGGCAGACAGACAGACAGACAGACAGAGACAGAGAGAGGGGAGGGTAGGTTAAAAGGTGTCGTCTCCTTCAGGAGCTGATTAATCAGTCAAGAAGTTTCTCTCAGTTGTTCTCGTGGAAAGAAAAAAAGGGGGATAAAGTTTGCTCGTTAGTTTTATTTATAGGTAACTGTTCTGCTATAACAATTGAAACGAGCATGGTACTCAAAACTGACCATTTTGTTAGTTACTGATTGATTATAGAGTTCATTTCAAAAGGGAAGTCCTTTGTTTTTGATAATATCTTTCTACCTCTTTCCCTCTCCATCTGTCTCTCTCTCCGTCTCTGTCTCGCTCCATCTTTCTCTCTCTCTCTCTCTCTCTCACACACACACACACACACACACACACACACACACACACACACACACACACACACACACACACACACACATTTTGATTGTGGGAAGGTTACGAGAAGTTTTGGAGTATGAAAGCTAGTTAAGTTCAGTGGCGTCAGATGCAGATGAGTTGGAGAGTGCCGCAATCTGTCTATCAGTGTTTTTGTCTATTCCCCCTCCCCCCTTCCCTGTCTCTGTCTGTGCACACACATACGCACGCACTTACATTCACACGATCATACTCGCAGCGGTACAAGCGCACGCTCGGACACGCACATGCACTCACTCTCACACGCAGAAGAGGGGATGGATCGGGGTGGAAGGAGATCCGATTGGAAGAAAGAAGGGAGGGGATTGTGAATAAAACTAGACTAGAAACTTGCTCCGTGTTCTCGATAGTGACTCAAAGGGTCGTCGGGTCAAGAGATTATGAGAAACTATAGCGTTGACAGGTGGAAAGATATGGCGGTGACTGCTGGAGTCAGATAGTGGGGGATTAAATGCGTGGCTTCTGTAATAAAGTTACTCTTTGGTGCACGCTGAATTAAGAAAATGTTATTATGACGTTAAATTCCTTTCCACTTACTGTTTTCACTTTAGATAAACCGCCCCCCCCCCAAACCCGCCCTATCCACACAGTCGTTCTCCCTGTTCATCCGCCTTTTCATCTACACCTCTATCTATCCGTGAAGGGTGATTAGAGTTAGAGGGCACTGACTGCTATTACTACTATCCCACTTCTGTTTGTCTGTCATTCTTGCAAATTTCAGTAAATCATGTGAGGTTTGACAAATTGGACATGCGAAAGACAAAATAGAACTGGTGTCATTGTCCGTTTCAGAAACATTTTTTTTTCTCTTCTTCTATTTCTTTTTCATAAATATTCTCTTCTGTAGACATTGGTCAGCGTCAGACATTGACGGACGAGCTGCATGTAAACTGGCCTTTGTTGTGTCGTTATGCTTCTTTTTTGGTAAACAAACCAAACAGACCGTCTTCCACTCCACCCGTGAACCCAACACACTGATTTATTTGGCGCTACTTTTAGATTACTTTTGCCGGCTAGAAGTTATAACGTTTTGTGATGTAGACGCCGGCCTGGGATGAATCAAAGCTGCTCCCGCAAGCTGTGGTCATGGTTGAACTTTTGGGGGCCAGTAAAGGTCAGCTTCTTAGCCACAAGCTTGGTGATTATTTTTCTGTCTGTCTGTCTGTCTGTCTATCTGTTTGTCTGTCTGTCTGTGTCTGTGTGTCTGTCTGCCTGTCTGTCTGTTTGTCTGTCTGTTTGTCTGTCTGTCTGTCTGTCTGTCTGTACGTGTGGGTGGTTGGCGGGTGTTCTGGTGTGGTTTGCTCCTTCTTTCCTTTCAAAAACTTCTATCGTCCTTATCTCTCCTCTTTCTTTTTTTTATGTACGTTACTCTCTTGTAACACAAACTTTATTCTTCTGCACTTATATGAACTTGTTGTGTTGCAAGTGCCGTAAAATTTACTAAAACTAAAAAATGTCTGTTCGTTCTTTTCCCTTCCCAATCATTCTCTCTCTCTCTCTCTCTCTCTCTCTCTCTCTAC